GGGGATCCCTTCTCTAGCACCCGGGGTCTCGTGGTACTCCCAAATGAAGCTACCAGCTGATCCTTGTGGGGGCTTACAGTCCTTATGCGTACGGCGTATGGGTGGGGGGTGTCCGCCGCAGTCTGTGCCGCGGCCGCGGCCTGCGCGTGGGCCGCCATATGCGCTCTTCAGGGGGCCGTCCGAGCCGGAGTGATCACTCCGTGTAGGAGCAGAGGCTGAGAGTATGTGTAGTAGTAAGTAGAGTCCTGGTGGTCTCCTCTTGATAGTGTCATAAGTATGGCTCGTGTGTGTCAGAGCCTGACAGCCGACTCGGACAGGGCCGCCTGAGAGCGCCTGACAGCAACAGCCCAAGACAACGTCTGGCAGGAGCAGCATCCTCACAGCTCTGACAGTCCGAGCAAGGTGTGGCAGCAACGGCGGAGGGTGGCGGGGGAGGCGGGGGCTGGCACCTGGTGGGCGGTGATGTGCTTCATCGGCCGCCGCTCGTACCAGTCGGCGAGCCACTGCGTCGTGTGCGTCTCGAAGACGCCGAGTGGCAGCAGGAAGAGCCAGGCTAGCGGCGAGCCGTGGTGGCCGTTACAGACGATGAAGTACCGCACGGCAACCACTATGATGTCTCGGCACCACGAGAGCGCCACAAACTTGAGCCGCGCCTTGCGATCGTACAGCGGGGCGAAGTATCGGACGTACAGCAAGTTCCACAGGAAGCCGGCGCAGAGCGTCGCCAGCACGGCGGGACCGGAATGAACGCCGATTGCGATCGCCACAGCAGGCAGCACCACCTTTGCCGCGGCGTGGCCGCCGCCTGTGCGCACAGGTGACTTTCCCATATTGGAGGGCGCCAGAGACCTTTCCAGCACGCTCCCTCCCCCTGTCCAAGAGCGGGCGCCGAGGGAGCCCTGAAATTCTGAGGACGAGCGGAAAAGAATTAGCGCGAGCGGCGGGAGAGGTGCGCACTGTCCCTCTGTGTTCGTGTGCGTCGCCCATCTCTCCCTGGAGATACTGCTCTATTTATTTATTTATGAAAGAAACTCGACGGGCAATACGCCGCGAGGAGAGCGGAGTTGCGCCGAGAAGAAGCCGCGAGGATAAGGGATCGGCGGGCAGCGGTAGCACCACACTCCGTTAATAAAAATCTCTCTCCACACTCCTCTCCTTAAAATCCCTGTGTGGTGGCGGCGTGCCGTCCTCCCATCCCTCCCTTGCCGTGTCTGTTTTCTTTCTTTCTTTCTTTCGATCCCTGTACCCTGAAGAGAGAGAACAAGCTGCCGAGCCCAAATCACTGTGAGAGTCGTGATTTCTTGTTGGTTAATAAAAATCTCTCTCTGAAGAGAGAGCTGAAAGCTTTCTTGAGTGTTGAGAATTTAGGGATCGACGGAGGACCGCTCGCAGAGGACCATTGGGTTTGTACTATTAACAACGAAGGCGCTCTCAAAAAAAAATAGCGCGTTATGTGCTCCCTCGCGCACAACACTAAGGCACAGTGCCGTCGTCCCATTCCTAGGAGCTACATGTACATCCCCCGGTGGCTGGCCGGCTTATCTATTTCTTTTTTCCTATTCGTCGTGGAATCGTCGACGTGGTCCGCGCGTGGTCGTGGCGCACTTTACGATCGCCTGTCATCAATTTGAGCTCCCCCCCGGGCGCGCGATCGAGGTTGCAGTTGCGAGTTGGTCTTGGTGTCTCCTTTAGAGGTGTTAGAGCCCTTAAAAAATAATGCTGAATCTTCCAGCGACGCTGGGGCGAGTGGGGGGACATCAACCGGCCCGGCACGGGCAGGGCCCGGCACGCCGGCAGCCGGGGCGCCCCACGCGCCAACACATAAGCAGTGGAGCTACGGACGCCCAAGGCGCGTCCTTGGGCGCGGGGCGCCGAGCCCCAGGTGGTGCGCGAGCGACAAAAACAATAGGAGCGGGACAAGTAGCCGAGCCGGCCCCGCGCCGCGCCACGGCGAATACAGTAAGCCCACAACATCGTCGAGCTCACTGCCCTCGCGAGGAGAG